CGTTCGTGAATGGTTGATGCGAGATGTCGGCTTGTCGTGGGCTTTCTCTGGTTGGCGTTGGCAGTTTGTTTTGTTCTTTGTTTGCAGGCAATGGCTAGCGGAGTATGGCCATACATGTTAATAAATACGTTAAGGGTATTTCATTCATTTATGAGTGCGATGCAATGATATGATACAGTCTAAAATTGTTGGAAGTTTAGTTTAAAGCCCGCGTCGTGTGGAAGTGAACTGCTACGTGTCTTCATTCTCGCGCTGCAGTCACACTCCCTCCTACAAGGCGCAACGAACCTTTGTCAGCGTAATGAGCGTGAGGAGCCAGGTAGCTGATGGGTGCTAAGCTCTTGGGTCTTGACGAAGGCAATATAGCGAGCTTCCCCTCTCCCATGGGCACATCTTGACAGAGACGGTTTTTATTCCATTACCGTGTTATTTCCCCCGTCAGAACACAATAACACCAGGGAGTTCAGGGAGAAGACAAAACCGTGAAATGTCTTACTGGAAACTGTTGAACGCATCAGGAGTCCCGTGTCCCTCGAGGCAGAAGCAGATGGTCGCAGCGAGGTAGATGTGACGTTCAGGGACGCCGCCATGATAAGCTGTCTTGCGTCGGCGGCGATGTGGTGCTGCTCCACCTGGTTTAGCGGAACTCGGAAGCTATCCCTTGTAAGAGCATTAGCTGGTTTCATCTGCCTCGGGAAATAGCTCTGTTCCCCCTTTTTTCCCTCAGCATGGCGTAGTGCCGCTGTGGAATTTCATGATGGAAGGAGAGTGACAGTTTATGAAAAAAATGTATGTGGAATAAGATAAGAGCAATAACAAGACTACTAAACGTTTTTGCAGTAAGGTACAAAAACGAATTACTTAAGAATATTTTACATGTTTTGCCCTAATGATATTAATGTATTTCTTGTAAAGATAAGTGGGATGGTCTGATGATGATACGGACTCCAGACAAGCAGAGCGAGGAGAGAGAGAGAGAGAGAGAGAGAGAGAGAGAGAGAGAGAGAGAGAGAGAGAGAGAGAGAGAGAGAGAGAGAGAGAGAGAGAGAGAGAGAGAGAGAGAGAGGAGAGAGAGGAGAGCAACAGTGAGAGTGAGAGAGAGAAAGGGGTGGGGGGGCAGACAGATAGACAGACGGCCAGACGGACAGACAGCGTCAGTATCTGAACACGCCCGATGTTTAATGCAAAACGAACAAGCTCCCAGCTAGTGTTTATTAATTTCCTCGAATTACGGAAAGGATCTTTTTGTGGGAATGATTAATTCGGACATAAATCGTAGTAAATCTCCCGGGTGTAGAAAAGAACCGCAGCTTGGTGTAGCCTGATCATGGCATACACTACATTAACAAATTTCCATTACGAATATTACCTTTGCTGATATATATTCTCGTCATGAATTTCAGGGAATAATGCGGCACCATTTCCGCCTGTATGAATCGGTGGTCTTATATTATCTTCGGTAAAGTTAATGCCATTTGCTTTTGCTGTTGTTATGGCGGTTGTAGATAGCTCTGTTTTATTCATTTATTGCAACTAGTCTGGGTGTGTGGCATGATGTTATAGATGAAATTAATCCCTTTTGGTATAGGATGATCACGCGAAGTCGATATACCAATTTTGTTGTTGTTATTATTATTATTCCGTCTTCTAGTTTCCTTTTCTTCCCAGCTGTCTTGCTGTAATCTCGAACTCTTCTTTTTCTCTTTCTCTTTCTCCGCCTCCACTCATTCACGTGCTCCTCCTCTCTCTTTCCCTTTTCCTCTTCCTCGTCCCCTTTCTCTTCTTCTTCCTGCTGCTCCTCCTCCTCCTCCTCCTCCTATCCCCCCTCTTCCTCGTCCTCCTCCCTCCTCCTTCGCCCTCCCTCGCCCCCACCACCACCTCCTCCTCTTTCCCTTTTCCATGCCCCCCCCCCCCCCCCCCGTCCTCCCGTCCCCAGTCCCTCCTCGCCATTCTCTCTCGCCCGCACCCGCCTCCGGCAGATGCTGGAAGGTGTAGGTTAGTGTCATCTGCATCGATCAGGAGCGAGATGATTATCCTGCCTGGAGGTCCACTAGACGTAACCTCGGGGTCACCGGGGAATCATTTATAAAACATGTGATCTCGGAACTGTCACATCCGCAGTCTTATCGGCCCGCGCTTGGATTGGATTTCTTTTCGGCGGAGAATCGGCTTGGGCGGAGCTTATTGGGTTCAGTGGCTCTTCATATATCTTGAACAGTAGCAAAATTGCTACAGTCTTGCATATTTACATAGGTACATATATATATATATATATATATATATATATATATATATTATATATATATATATATATTTGTGTGTGTGTGTGTGTGTGTGTGTGTGTGTGTGTGTGTGTGTGTGTGTGTGTGTGTGTGTGTGTGTGTGTGTGTGTGTGTGTGTGTGACGTATACGTCTTTGCGTGTATGTGTGAGCTTGTGAGATAACCAGAAATTACGACCGCGAGATCACATTTATTCGTTCACAGGAATAACTTTTAGGTCGACTGATTAAGAAATGTTTTCGAGAAACCGATATTTACTGCAGCAGCTGGAATGGTTCTAACGGAAAATGAAAATCGCTTTGTGAGGAAAATAGTTACAGATAAAGTGACGCAAAGTTCCGGAACTGTCTTCAGTTTCTCATTAATGACCATTAGCAGATAGTAATTAGCCCCATTTGACCCTGCCCTTGACATGGACGACCTGGAGAGCAATTAAATGAACACCCATTTCCTGAAACTAGATTATTACCGAAGAACCAACTCGAATCGTCCGCGGGAAAATGGAGCGGTGACGGCGCATGGTGACATCAGCCCGTCACAGATTAAGCGGCCGCTCGCAAACACGCCGACGACTCGCCGCCATAACTACCTCGTTTGTGGGATAATGACGACGTTTATCCCAATTATTAATGCTGTGGAGGGAGAAACAAAGCCACGGAAGAGCCCGTGTCTCAATCATTAACCAATTATTGAATACCTGGTGCGTATGTCAGATATTATTTAGGGCCTTTGATCCGATCTTCGAGGCTGTCCCGCAGCGGCCTCGGCCTTTGTTTGGCAGCCGGGATGGAGAGGGTTGGGGGAGGGAGGGAAGGAGGGGGGCGAGGGAGGGGCAAGTGGGAAGATGAGGCTGGGGGAGGGAGGGGAGGCGGCAAGGAAGATGAGGTGGGTGGAGAGGGAGAGATGGAGGAGGGAGGCAGAGGAAGAGGAAGATGTTGGGTGGGGATGACAGGACTGTGTGAGAAGGAAGGGGAGTAGGCAATGAAGATGAGATGTGGGGTGGGAGGAGGAAATGGAGGAGGAGAGGGCGAGGGAGAGGAATTAGGAGAGAAAGGGGTAGGAAAACGAAGGAAGGAGGGGATACAGAAGAGAGGGCGAGGAAGAGGAACGAGGGAGGTCGAGGTGAAGGGAGGATGGGGGGTTTGGGAGAGGAGGAGGTGTGGAGGATGAGGGCAGGAGGAAGAAGGAAGAACAGGCTGGGGAGTGGAGAGGGAAGGAGATGAAGGGAAGGAAGAGGAGAAACAGATAAGAGACGGAAAGAGGGTTGGAGGAAAAAGTCGGAGATGATGGAACGGGGAAGGGTAGGAGGGGGGAGGAGGAGAGGATAGGGGAGGAGGAGGAGGCTGTGAGGCAGATGAATGGATGGCCGAGGGGTGGGGGGGGATGGGCGAAGATGGGGGAGACCTTTTGTTTTCGTAATTCCCGCTTAAGTGGTATTTAGGTTGAGTGATTTTATAGTTATTTTTATTACTGGTATAATTTTCTATAACCTTATCTTCAAATTTTATACAATCTGAGGCAGCAGACAACGAACCGTTCTCTCTCTCTCTCTCTCTCTCTCTCTCTCTCTCTCTCTCTCTCTCTCTCTCTCTCTCTCTCTCTCTCTCTCTCTCTCTCTTCCTCTCCCTCTCCTCTCCTCTCCCTCTCCTCTCCTCTCCTCTCCCTCTCCCTCTCCCTCCTCCTTCACCCCTACCGTATTTCCCTCCTTGTATATATGTGTGAACATGTCCTAGGTATAGGAAAACAAAGGGAAAACACCTCGAGGTCCATCCTTCAGCTCGGCCAGTTACTCCTTCTCCCCCTTCACCCCTTTACCTCCCCCCCTTCCCCTCTCCAGAACCCGCCTGAAGGAGGGTTCAAAGTCAAGCGTGTAATCTACCTGTCCGACCCAAACCTTTCAGGAGTTTGGCCTCGGGCAGCACCTGGTCACCTGCTCGCTCGTGTTTCAGAGAGAGGAGTTGAATCTGGCCTAATTCTTTTGCCAGCTCTAATACGGAGGCAGACGTCCGTATTGTTCGCGGAAACGCTGAAGTCTCGTGATGTCTCGCGATGTCTCGTGATGTCTCGCGATGTCTCGGAATTGATGGCGCTCGGGAGGAGATCGAGCGTGAATTGAAGAACCAGCTTGTTGATAATGTAAACGCTCCGCTGAGCTCATTGCCCTCGCTCCAAATGGGGATTCGCAGATTGTGCTGGAGGAGCGCTAAGGGCGAATGAAGGATTGGCTAATATTGGGAGAATGCTCGTAAATCATGAATCTTTGAGATAGATTAGCGTTTCTTGAAGATATTGTTTGCTCGCATGTGTATGTGTATGTATATCACATAGACATTTTGTATATGAAACTATTTATATCGTTGCACACACACACACACACACACACACACACACACACACACACACACACACACACACACACACACACACACACACACACACACACACACACACATATATATATTTGTTTGTTTGTTTGTGCGTGTATTTTATAAGACACACCGTCTCTATCTCTTTCTTTCGTTTTGTCTCTCCTCCTTCCAAAATATTCCTAGGACTGAAAATAGGTGAGCGGAAGGAGGATAACTAATTTACCAAGTGAAAAAACAAACTTTTTTCACTGCCCATTATCGAGAAGCAGTTAATGTAATTATTCCGTCCCGTGACGCTTCCCAGCTCGGCCGAGAGATGGCGTCACCTCCAGAACAGGGAGAAATTCACGATGGGAGGCTAGCGTTTTTCTCCAATATGAATTTTCTCGCGTAGAAACCCACTGTGAAGTTCGTATGACGTTCAGTTGCTTGCATTTTTCTCTTATTCTTTTTCTTTTAACGAGGTCACCTCCGTGTTGTTGTTTCCAACAATCTGTTTTTCTTCGGGCGTATTTTCTTTTCTTTTATTATTGCATTGTTGATTTTCGTTCTTTACTTCGAATCTTTTGCCGAAAAGTTAGGATACTTTTCTTGTTCAATCGAGGAGGAGAAACAGGCAAGGGACGTTTCCCAGGAAATGGAAAGTTAGAAATGAAAGAAAGGATCGTCTCAGCAGCTGATTTTACCCTTTTTGTGGCCATGCGATTTGTAAATGTAATTACAGGGTCACATATTTTGTTTGAAAAAAATATCTAAGAATTGTCAAGCCGATGTCATCATATAACACGAATATGCGCATTACTTACGTATCTTATAAGCGAGCATTATTTATTTTCTTATATGACCGTTTTATTCTCTTTTATCCGCTATCTCTCACTGTCTGCTTTTCCTTATACACACCTTGTTACAGCGGCCTTGCACGCTTTCTCTCCTGACAGGGCTTTTTTACGCTCCTTTATTCCTGTTCCGTTCCATCTCTCTCTCCCCTTTCTCTGTCTTCCTTTTATCTTCCATTACTGTATCTCCTTCCCCTAACTTCAGCTGAAGGTTTATCTCTCTGTATGTCTTTCTTTCCCACTTTCTCTCGTCTTTCTTTTCTTTAATTATCCTTTTTGCATTTTCACTGTTTAAACCTCTCTCTCCCTCTTCCTTTTCTGCTGCTTATTATACTCAGTTTTGTTTTTCTTTCGTTCTATTTGATTTTCTCCCTTTTTTATCTTATAGTTACTCAGTATCACAATATTGTAATTGCGTATAATGAAAGAGTTGCCGTTATTTAGTTAAAACGAAAATGTATTTATCACCAGATCTAGTTTAAGATACTACGTACTAGTAGCTAATTATATTATTCTTGCGTGACATAAAGGTTTCTTTGAAGTAAAGCTTTAAGAGTGCTTCATAAATATCTTGCTGCACATCGTAAAGCTTTTAATCTAGCTTTGGCTTTTGTTTGTGGTGACCTTGATGTGCATGTCTCTTAAATTTACAAGATGTTTACAACCGCATCTTCAACGTTCTCTTTTGTTTCCATACCATCTACTTTACAAATAGTTTGTTTCAGAATATGTAATTTTTATATCCTTTTTTGCACACACACACACACACACACACACAACACACACACACACACACACACACACACACACATATTATATATATATAATATATATATATATTATATATATATATTAGAAAATAAAGCAGATTTTCCTGCTGGCATGTCTAAAAGACATACATACATAAATAGATACATACATACATACATACACATACGCCAAGCAGATGTAACGGGTAACGTTCATGTAACCCAAACCACGAATTCACACTCCCTCCCCCACCCCATGCCCTCTCCCCCAACCCACCCCTCCGCAGCAGAAGGATATTAACCCCCCTCTCTCTCTCCCCCACAGCCAGCGGACAACAGCGCCAGCACTTCCGCAACCAGCCCGAGGACCAGCACGTGGTCGAGGGCGCCGTGGCCCTCATCAAGTGCGAAGTCGGGAACCAGAAGGGCCGAGTCCAGTGGGCCAAGGATGGCTTCGTCCTCGGTGAGTTGACCACTTGTTGAACTTTTTTCTCTCCTCAGTGCGTTTTTTTTTTTTTTTTTTTTTTTTTTTTTTTTTTTTTTTAGACCACGTTTTCTCCTTTTCTCAAATTTTGGGTTATTTGTGGGCCGGGATTATGCCTGGATGTTGCGGGTGCGAGTGGGAGTGAGGAGGGGAGAGGGTGAGGGGAGGACAGAGGGTGAGGGTGGGAGAGAGGAGTAGGAGGAGCAAGAGGTGGAATGGAGGTGAATGGAGGTCGTGTGCGTGAGAGGGAGGTGTATATATATGTGTGTGTGTGGGGTGGGTGGATGGGAGGGATATATGTATGTATGTATCTATATCTGTCTATCTATCTATCTGTCTATTTGTATATACGTATATATATGTGTGTGTGTGTGTATGAGTGTGTGTGTGTGTGTGTGTGTGTGTGTGTGTGTGTGTGTGTGTGTGTGTGTGTGTGTGTGTGTGTGTGTGGTGTGTGTGTGTGTGTGTGTTGCGCGCAGGCCTTGCTAGCTTCCTGACAAGAATTAATTATATTTCATAGCGTAAGTATCACTACATTTTGATAAGGATATTATCTTTTCTGCAAAAGGGCACACACTGTCGCTAATTGCATTTCATCAACGTTGACCTCGTCATCGCGAAAACATGCGACAATTTTGACAAAATTTACATATTTTCTCGCATGCCTTTGCTCTCTTGCTTTCTGATGGAGCCTGGCAAGTCATAATCTTATATTCCGCCCTGCGCCTATTTTCTTGTTTATTTTGTTCCCATTCCATCCTCCCCATTCTCTCTCTCTCTCTCTCTCTCTCTCTCTCTCTCTCTCTCTCTCTCTCTGTGTCTCTGTGTGTGTGTGTGTCTCCCTCCCCTCCTCCTCTCTCCTCCTCCCCCTTCCTTTCTTTCTTTCCCAAGGAATAACAAAATATTCTTAGTTCTCATTTACAAACCCTCCCCCCGCCCCTCCCCACCCCCTCCTCCGCCGCCATCCTTGCCAATTAACTCTCACCGCCTGAGGCCGTGTTTATCTCCGCTACCAACGTCCTTATCACTTTCTGTCTGGCGTCCGGAAGATAGGCAGGTGTCGAAGGCTTCCTCTCTGGCGGTGCTTTTACGCCCGAACCCCAAGCCCGGTTTTGGGCTGCAGTCGCTCTCCTGTTATGGTATTGGAAAGCCGTTTCTTTTCTTCTTCTTTATTTGCCGTCTTTTGGTTTTTGGAAGATCGGCAGTTACAGGTTTGAAGGAATGAGGATACAGAGGCTCGGGAAAATATCTAGCTCTTGTATTCTCGTTAAGTGATGAACGTTTTTAAGATTTTTTGGGGTTGTTATGAGCTCACATTCTTAATATCTTAAAACAAGCGACACTCGGCCCGAGTCACTGACACTACGAAAGCCATTGTAATCGCTAAGGACTTGCCCAAACTGCCTCAAGTGCTCCTCAAACATCTTGCCACGCGAGCCCCCGAGCACGACCTCATCCCCACGTGATAATCAAGCCGTCTTCAGCCTCCCCTTAACCCCTTCGCCCCCGTAGACTCCCATCACCTGCCTGATCCTGAGGAAACAAGGACGTAATCCTATGTAGTGCTCGACGCCGAAGACCGAGTTTCCAGAGGACGAGGTTCGAGTGTTTGCTAACCTATTGCTCGACCCCAGATGGCACAACTCCTCAGCACCCCCCCCCCCCCGGCCCCCACAATCACTTTACCTGCTCTGCCGGCTCGCCCTCCGTCAGTCCCACTCGCCACTCGCCTCCCCTTTCCTCCGTGCGCTTCTTTCCCCTCTCGTGTCCTCTCACTTTCCACTTGACCTCATTTCGCATTCGCAATCAGTTGTACACTTGCCTCGCTTGTTGCATCTGCCACTTGCATGTAGAATGCACGGACGTCTTTGCAGTGTCAAAGGGAATGCCAGAATAGTATCTCGTGATTGCATTAGAAAAAGTTGTGAGAGAGCAGTATTAAAAAGACGACCCATATTAGTTGAGCAAATTATATATTTGCACATTTGCACACGCACGCACGCACGCACGCACGCACACACACACACACACACACACACACACACACACACACACACACACACACACACACACACACACACACACACACACACACACACACACACACACACACACACACACACGGAAACTCGAAAACATACATGTAAGTAGAAAAAATCCCAAGCTAGCCTGCCCGTTACCTAAAGAGAAACGAATTTGGAAAATGAAAAAGTAAGTAGGATATCAAGTGAAACTGCAAGGGAGCTGCCCGTGCGTGGCGCGCGAGTGATTTTTGTTATTTTACCTTGAGATTGGCGAAACAAACACCGCAATTGGAAATAATTTGTGGTGCACCTGCGCGTGCGCAGCGTGAACGGTACACGCCGTGTAGAGCTGGAATGTTTCGTGCCGGCGCTGGGCGTGTAAACTTTATGGAACTGTCCATAACATGCGCGAAATTCCATTTATGTTTATGCACATTTTACTGAAAAAATACGGCTAGGCCGGATATGACTGGCTCTTAAATACGGAAAGTAACTTCGTCGAAAATGCTGTTGTGGAACTATTTCCAGCCTAACAGACGAGGGCCATAAAGTCTACAATCGCCATGACCAAGGAGACGCCAGTGGCTGGGCCGCTCTGAAGGAAAAACAGCAAGCGGCATCATTATTCCTGCTATTTTCATTATTATCGCTCAGGTCCTCGCGTTCATGCTGGTTTTTCCCTCGTGCTAAGACTACTGGGAAAGGGACCGAACTTTTCTGGTGTTACAGGAACAAGTAATAATTTTCACACCTGCTTGGACAAGATACGAAATTGACCTTCAAATCGTCGCCGTCGTTGGGCCTTTTCCCCCAAACCTCTTTCGGGGCTGTGGCTGTGGTTTTCCCTGGCGTCCTCTCTGCGGCGGGAAGGAGGGAGCATACTGCGCTCATCCCAAAAAGTATTTGGCAGTTTTGATAACTTGGTGGTGCTTAACATTGGTGAAAGACGCCAGGAATGGTCGGCAGGCAACGATTGGCCATTCTGCCGTGACGAAGGAAGGTACCTGATTGGCTGTTATCTCCACACGCTGGCAGTTGCCTTTGGTTTTTATTGTTGAGTGCAACTATTGTCGGTTTCCTATACATGAATCTGCCCCTAATATCCTTTACTTAAAAAAGAACAATATCCTCCCCATCTCCGTTGACCAGTTGCGTTTGCAGATGTCTGACATTGCCTCTCGTTGGCTTTATAAGTGCGCTTGCCTCTCTTGCGTTGATATTTATCCTCCTCATTTCCCTGACAATTTTCTGTCGCTCTCTTCCTCCTGCGCCCATATTAAGAGTCTTCTTTCCCGTCTTTTCCTCTTTCAGATCCTCCCTCTGTATCCCATTTTCTCCTCCACATCCGCTGAGCCTCGCCAGCTCTTTGTCTGTAATGTTTACACTGTACACACGGGCCAACCTCCGGCACGGGCTGTCGTAGATAATTTGCCGCCCAATTTATCTTAAAGATTTTTGAAAGGGATGACATTATGGCTGTTCTGGATCCAATGCAGCTTGCGAAAAGTAAATGAGGGGAAGAAATGGCCTGCATTCTTATTTCATTTCTTGACCGTGTTTAGTATTACTTGGTGCTTGCTGTTCGCATCATTAAAGTTTTATTTATGATCATTACTGCCGCCATAACGGGGATCGTTCGTGCCATTATCGCTGCCCCTTTCATGGGCATCATTGCCATTATTATATTTTATTTGTTCTTTCTGGAAGCCATTTGCAGTTAGAGTAATTTAACAAATTAATTTTTTGAAATCCATTATTCCTCCTCATCCTTGCTTATCTGCAGAAAGAGAATTTTTGAGAAAATATTGCAAAAGACTTTCCCTTTCACAGCTGTCTTGTCTGGTAATTGCATTTGTTTATTAATGTATTTTCTACGCTTTCCCTGCAACCAGCCTCCACCGACTGCGCAAATGCACTAGCTGTGGTCTTTTGACAAGCTGCTAAAACATTGTCACTCGACGGAACAATACGTAACTCACAACTTCCGGGTCAACAACTGTCAGGTAATGCTCTGTGCGTTGGCCAAACTTCCTTCTTTAAAGCAACATCTCCCCGTCGCCCTAAATGAAGGTAATGAGCGCAAGGAAAATAGGAGGAAAAATAGAGGTGGACCAGAATTGTCTGCTTCTGTTTTTATTCTTTGTCTTCGAATGGAGACTTTGCTTTTGCTACTGCTTCCACAATTGGTAATGGTGCTAATAAGTATTATGATAGGAGAAGCAATACGAACGATAATGATGATGAAAATGGTAATAATGATTATTATTGTTGTTGAAGGGAAGATGGTTATTGCCGCAGCTGAAAAGAAACCAACGTGAATTTTATATTTCCTTTGTTCCGTCCCATAATAAGAAATAGGACACAGCAATTAGATTGGGCTTCACCAATCATTCCAGTCCCGAGAAAACCTTTTCACAATGGGCCATGAAAACGCACACTTACGTGGACGGTGTGAATTTCCTCAAGGTTGTAAATGGGGCTTCCTCTTGGCTTTAGGCCTAGTCACTCTCCGTCCCGAGGTAGCGTGTGAGCGTGACATGGGGTCGTAGCGTTGACAGGGTACAGTGGCAGCATTACCGTTTATGGCGCACCGCCGGTTGGCTGCTGGGGCTGTATGAAGCTTTTGAATGACGTGACATCCAGCGGCAGGTTTGAATTAACGCACGAATCCTGGAAATTGAAGCGGTTCCGTCGATAATCCGGAATTGAAGCACTGTCCTCATTCTTATTAATTTTGTCTCCGTACCCGGATTCCTGCAGCGTAGAGTCGGCCATGCATTTCATTATCTCTCCGGCCGTTTAGAGACTCTTCTGCTCCTGTCTATAAAACAGAGGACCCTTTTATCTCCCTTATTACGAGCATAGTCGGAGGATTTCCTGCCTTGGCCCGGACGAATTAGACTCGTTTGTAAAGATTTAGGTCCAGGCAGAGGCTCGCCTGTTAGGCTCCGAGAG